CCCGGGAAATTTCCCGACTCGGGAACCGAGACCGGGAATCCCGACCATCACTATTTGTTTCTATTAAATTCAAAGCAATATGTGGGAGCTGTGTGGTTAAGTGGCTTGATTTTCCCCTTTCCTGGTGAGCGTGGGAGGTTCGATCCCGCTTAGGGTTTCTGCTTCTGAAAGATTCGTGTATATATTTGGGCGATGATGAAAATATTTGGAAACGTTCGCGGTTTCCACCCTAGACGCCACAATGAGGGATCTCCCATATCTGAGCCCAAATTTTTTTCAAGAATACCCTCTTTATTAAATGCAAATTTGAAACCTATAGGTTTGCAATGCTTTTTTTGTAGATTATAGCTGGAATATTTGAACAATTTAGGACTGATTTTTTCAAAATTTATAAATCTACTCGTTCCCGAATATTTGTTTTTTTCCCGGTTAGGGAGTTCCATAATTCACCTGATCAGTTCCAAGATCAGAAGAATAGGTATTTTTCTCAAAAACCTCTTTAATTATCTATTAAATTTTTCCCCAATATTTTTAAGCAAAAATACAAGTTTATGGACTTTCGAAGATACAACCCAAAGGTATTGGATTACTGAAAGTTCTAAATATGTTGGACGTTTTGTTCAACGTTTAGTTGATTTTCTTCAAACAAAATTACCAGAATTGGCAAATAATTGGACTCAATTTGCTATTCATTTTGCTTTTAATGTTTCAAATAGACATTATTTTGGTATGTTCTATGTTGTTAATATGTCGTTAGAAGCAATGTTTAAATTAATTTCTGAAATTTTACAAACATGAAACTAAAATGTTTTTTTGTTTTTAAAACTTGAACAACATGTTTAAACATGAGGGAAAAAATTTGAAACATGAAACATGTTAAAAACATGTTTTAAAGTTTTAAAACAACAATAAACTAAACATGAAATTCTGATTTTTTAAGACATGTTTTATTTAAATTCTGGTTTTCTAAAAACATGTTATTGAAATTCTGATTTTTTAAAAACATGTTTTATTTAAATTCTGATTTTTTTAAAACATGTTTTATTTAAATTATGATTTTTTAAAACATGTTTAATTTAAATTCTGATTTTTTTAAAACATGTTTTATCGAAATTCTGATTTTTTTAAAAACATGTTTTATTTAAATTCTGATTTTTTAAAACATGTTTTATTTAAATTCTGATTTTTCAAAAACATGTTTTATTTAAATTCTGATTGTTAAAAAACATGTTTAATTTAAATTCTGATTTTTTTAAAACATGTTTTATTTAAATTATGATTTTTTTAAAACATGTTTTATTTAAATTATGATTTTTTTAAAACATGTTTTATTTAAATTCTGATTTTTTAAAACATGTTTTATTTAAATTCTGATTTTTCAAAAACATGTTTTATTTAAATTCTGATTGTTAAAAACATGTTTTATTTAAATTCTGATTGTTAAAAACATGTTTAATTTAAATTCTGATTTTTTTTAAAACATGTTTAATTTAAATTCTGATTTTTTTAAAACATGTTTTATTTAAATTATGATTTTTTTAAAACATGTTTTATTTAAATTCTGATTTTTTAAAACATGTTTTATTTAAATTCTGATTTTTCAAAAACATGTTTTATTTAAATTCTGATTGTTAAAAACATGTTTTATTTAAATTCTGATTGTTAAAAACATGTTTTATTTAAATTCTGATTGTTAAAAACATGTTTAATTTAAATTCTGATTTTTTTAAAACATGTTTTATTTAAATTATGATTTTTTAAAACATGTTTAATTTAAATTCTGATTTTTTTAAAACATGTTTTATCGAAATTCTGATTTTTTTAAAAACATGTTTTATTTAAATTCTGATTTTTTAAAACATGTTTTATTTAAATTCTGATTTTTCAAAAACATGTTTTATTTAAATTCTGATTGTTAAAAACATGTTTAATTTAAATTCTGATTTTTTTAAAACATGTTTAATTTAAATTCTGATTTTTTTAAAACATGTTTTATTTAAATTATGATTTTTTTAAAACATGTTTTATTTAAATTCTGATTTTTTAAAACATGTTTTATTTAAATTCTGATTTTTCAAAAACATGTTTTATTTAAATTCTGATTGTTAAAAACATGTTTTATTTAAATTCTGATTGTTAAAAACATGTTTTATTTAAATTCTGATTGTTAAAAACATGTTTAATTTAAATTCTGATTTTTTTAAAACATGTTTTATTTAAATTATGATTTTTTAAAACATGTTTAATTTAAATTCTGATTTTTTTAAAACATGTTTTATCGAAATTCTGATTTTTTTAAAAACATGTTTTATTTAAATTCTGATTTTTTAAAACATGTTTTATTTAAATTCTGATTTTTCAAAAACATGTTTTATTTAAATTCTGATTGTTAAAAACATGTTTAATTTAAATTCTGATTTTTTTAAAACATGTTTAATTTAAATTCTGATTTTTTTAAAACATGTTTTATTTAAATTCTGATTTTTTAAAACATGTTTTATTTAAATTCTGATTTTTCAAAAACATGTTTTATTTAAATTCTGATTGTTAAAAACATGTTTAATTTAAATTCTGATTTTTTTAAAACATGTTTAATTTAAATTCTGATTTTTTTAAAACATGTTTTATTTAAATTATGATTTTTTAAAACATGTTTTATTTAAATTCTGATTTTTTAAAACATGTTTTATTTAAATTCTGATTTTTTTAAAACATGTTTAATTTAAATTCTGATTTTTTTAAAACATGTTTTATTTAAATTCTGATTTTTTAAAACATGTTTTATTTAAATTCTGATTTTTTAAAACATGTTTTATTTAAATTCTGATTTTTCAAAAACATGTTTTATTTAAATTCTGATTGTTAAAAACATGTTTAATTTAAATTCTGATTTTTTTAAAACATGTTTAATTTAAATTCTGATTTTTTTAAAACATGTTTAATTTAAATTCTGATTTTTTTAAAACATGTTTTATTTAAATTATGATTTTTTTAAAACATGTTTTATTTAAATTCTGATTTTTCTGAACATGTTCTATTCAAATTCTGAAAAAATTTTAGGTCGTTCATTTCAAATTGCTGGATCATTAGGCACTAGCCCTGTACCTTTTATTCCATTATTAATTTCTCGTCTAGTCGATATATTTTCTGAAAATAATGATGAAACACAAAGCTTTATTATTGGTAATTTTTTTAATTTTGAAAAAAATTATTTTTTCTTCATAAAAGAATTATTTATTTGCCTTCAACGAATGGTACAATCTGTCGATAATAATTCAAAAACATTTTCTAATGGACATTGTCGTTCAATAAGTTATACTCGGAATTTTTGGGAGCCGTTAGAAGCAAATAAAAAGGATGAGAAGAAAGGTGGGGTGATATTTTTTTATTATTTAATACTTCAGGATTTGGGAGGGTTCCTGTTCCTCTTCACTTACCCGACTTTTAATGCTCCGGCTCAGGTCGGGCAGTCATTGCTAGAAGCTTTGAATCTCCCTCTTTTCACCTTACATGAGCTACAGTTTATTAAATATATAAATTTAGATATTAGACACTCTCTCCTACTTTCAAGTAATTTTGATGTAAACAACAAAACACCATTAAAAAGAAGTAAAAGTGCATCAATGCCAAAAATAAATAATGAAACAAATTTATATTTGACTGAAGAAAATATATTAGCTTTTTCTCAAATTGCTACAATTTCTCTTTTAATGTTGGAATCTAATGTAGATAATGAATTTTTAATTGGATTACATACTTTTGATAAGGTAGGGAGATTGAAGAAATTAAAAAAATTTTTAAATTAAAAAAAATTTTTTTTTAGATTTTACAAGCTAGTGGAAATCAACGTTTTGAATTTCTTGTTCGTTTGGAAGAAATTGTAAATAAAAGTTGGGAGTTGCCTAACAACACTGAAATTGTTGCTTTAGCTTTGAAAGGTATATGTTTCTTCAATTTTTGTTTTTATGTTTATTTTAAATAAACTTGTTGGGAACATGTTGGTTTTGTGGATACTTTGTTTGTTTTGAAGTAAAAGCAAGCAAACTTTCTTTAAAACATGACAAAACATAAAAACACAAACAAATTAAAAACTTAAAACTTGAACAAAAACATGTTTGGAATAAACAAAACATTTAACAACCTAAACATTTTAACAAAACAGTTAAACAGTTAAAAGTTTTGTTTTTGTTAAAATGTTTTGTTTTTTCCCTTTAAAACACACACAAACAAAGATTACATAAACATATGTTTTGTGTTTCTTTGAAACATGTTTCCTATTTTTTCTAAACAAAACATGTTTTGTTTCTGTTGTTTTAAACATTCAATTGTTTCAGGTATTCTCTACCCTTTCCACGGTTATGAATGTTCTATTTCAATATTTTCAAAATGTCTTTTAAATTTAAACCAAAAAATTGTTTGTTCAAATTCAAAAGAATCTTTTGCTTTAATTGTGACTGGTAACTTGATTATTAAAAATATTAAAAAAGATTTTTTATTCCAGCTTCTTTACCCTATTGTATTCAAAACTTCAATTCTCCAACTTCCCTCTGTTCTAAACTTACACAATCTATTGCTACTGTATTTTTTTTTTGAAAAAAATTTTTTTAAATTATTTTTCAGCATTGTCGAACAGAACTTGATCAAATTTCAAAAGAAAAAGGCGTTAATTTGGATACTTTTTCTGACCATCCTCTTTCTAATTTAATTACTGTGAGTTTTTCTTAATTATAGAAGCTAGATTTAGTAGAGAGTGAATAGCTGTTGGCAGATTCTGGGGTTGGCCGATAGGGGTTGGCAGATTCTTGAAAATTCCGTATATTCGGGCCTGATACCTAAATCGAAGGTTTAGGAGATATAAAGAGATCCGGATCACCCTACTTTAGTGTGGGCAATAAGAACAGGTGATTGAATGAAAGAGTAACCACCTTTTAAACGATTTAAAAGGTGGTAAAGCTCCTGTATATGGTGAGCGAAAGCCTATGAAGAGGTCGTAGGTTCAATCCTGCCCGGTGGCTAAACTTATACTAAAACTCTTTCTTCCCCATTTTGTTATTTTATACTGCTCCCTTTTGGGTGGAAGATCACTTAAGTTTCTTCAAAAATTTTGCATTCAAATTAATTTTTCATTGCTTATTTTTTTAAAAGATGATGGACCAATATCGAGAACAAAAATTTCCTCGAGACCATCCCCAATGGACTAAATGTGTAATTAATTATTTATTGGATGCTTTTAAACCTGATACTTTTCAATTAATTATTGTTTTGACTGAAATGCTTGAAAGAAGTCCAATAGCTTTACATTCTAGTCTACTGGATATGTTGCTGTTATTATTTAATTATGGAAGTTTAAATAATTGCCCTCCAGCTTATTTTAATTCTCAGGTATATAACTTGGAATTGGATTTTTAAATGGTAGAGTTTGAACTAGAGCAGCGTTGAAATAAAAAAATCTTCCAAATTCGCAAATCGAAATTTTATGAAAAAGTTTGAAATTAAATCGAAATTTCGACGCAGCTCTTGTTTAAACTTTCCTAAATTGCTGGTCATCCGATTTAGGAAAAATTAAAGTCCATAAAGGTGAAAATTGCTTGAACATAGAATTATAATAGGGAAAAAATAAGGATTAGTAACAGGGTTGGACCAATCAGATTTTTGAATAATGCAAGAAGGAAAAGAGGTGAGAGTGTAAACGGGAATTCCCTCTGCTTCACTGCGTAAGCATCAGGGAGCTTGGAATCAGAGCTGTTTCAAACCCAAAGTATCTTCGAAAATTGAAAATATTTTTCAAAAATTGAATGAAAAAACCAGACTAGTACATGGATACGGATATGGATACAGATATTGTAAAAATGTCTGCGGATATCCGTCTGTATCCGCCGTAAATATCCGGATACGGATACCAAAATCAGTATCCGTTTCCTAATCTGGAAAAAACCTCGAAACTCGTAAATCGAATTTCGAAACAGCTCTGTTTGGAATCTGAACGGTTAGACTACTGGTAAGCATACACGAAGGCAGAGATGAGGAAATGAATTTTAAAAAATAGTTAAAAGGTATACCATACAAACTTGGAACAAAATATTATTCTCTATATAGTTACCTCTCTCATACAAAAAAATATTTTTTTGCATTTATAGATTGTCAAAACAATTTTTAAACACATTCATGGTTCAAGTTCTAGAGAAGCTTCGCGTATTTTTAAAGTTATATTGGAGCAATGGAATGCTATTTCTGTCGATAAAATTTCCCAGAATGAGGTAAAAATAGAAAAAATTTGCCATTAAAAAATAAATTTTTATAGAAAGATTTTCTCGCTAAAAGAAAGCCAGAATTTGAAATTCGATTTGAAAAACCATTTTTACATGAAATTAGTGTTGATAAATTGTCTTCTTTGGATTCGTTTGGTAGTGCTAGACAAAAGGTGTGTTTAAAATTTTTTGAAATTTTCTTCCTTTTTTTAGATCAGAAAAAAACTTTTAACTTTATTTTCAACTTTTGGACTCCCTATTGGTGCGACTAGACATCTTTCTGTGAGTTTTTTTGGTTAAAATTAATTTTTGAAAATTATTGCGAGTCTTAGAAATGTTCTGATATCCAGAGAGGGGTGTTCTAAATAAAAATTTTTTCGTTTCGAAACGAAACGAAATGGAAAAAAGGGCACGAAAGAGCGAAACGAAACGATTTCGAGCATCCCTGTTCTGAAGCAGAACCGATGAACTAAAAACCAGTCTCCGGAATCAAATCAGTCCTTATTTTCGAAATCAGCAATGATCCCTGATTCCATAGCTTTTGTTGGGTTATTATTTAAATATAGACTTTATACATATAAAAAGTTGCGATTTATGATAGGGCTTATGGATTGGAATCAGGACTGGACGCAATTGCGGACTGCGGGTTGAGTAGAATTGCGTGGTTTTTTGACTTGCGGACTGCACATTGCGGCTGCGGAAATTTTTTACAATTGCGTCCAGCCCTGATTGAAATAGATGGATTTTTTAAAATTAACTTTTAAAAGTTGTCCATTCCTCATCAAGAATTCAAATTTTTAAAATTTTATTTTTAAATTTTCCAGCTTTTATCAAAATCATTTACTGATATTCAACAAGATCAATTGATTAATATAAATATTGAAGAGAAAGAAGGAGGAAATAATCAAAAACAACAACAACATCAATCAAATTTAAAGTTAGAATCAAAAGATGATTACTCAACAAAAACAAATCAACAACCAAATATAGATAGAATGTCAAGTCCAAAAAGTTTTGGAGGTGGGCCATCATTAGGAGGAGGTGGAGGAGGAGGGAATTTATTACAACAAGACCACCATTCTAGTGCAAATAGTTGTGAATTAATATCTTTACGAACAACAGACTCTTTCCCTAGAGTTTTTAAAGAATTTGATTTTCTTGAAGCTGAACATGATTCTGTGTCTGAATCTGCTGAAAGTTGTTTTAATTGGTTATCTACAATGAGAACTCCTAGGTGAAAATAAAAGATGTTTTTTATTTTTTAGTTAATAATTATCGTATTTTTTTGTATTAGAGCTCCATGGGGCTCTATTTTTCAACTATCCTACAAAGTTGGGCTATATTACAGTTTGGGGCTCTAATACAAAGAATACGGTAGCTTTTCCTTAGTCCTAATTTTTAATTAAGTTGTCTAAGTTGATCTTAGGTCTAGTTAATAGTGTAAAATCCTTCATAACTTTGATATTGGTCTATACTGTTCACCGAGATTTGTAAAAATCTTTGGGTTCGGACTCTGGCCTTGTTTTATTGAACCTTGGCTGGATTTTTACGCCTGACCTTTATCTATAAAAATACAGGGTATGTTCTGAAACTGAAACTGAGCTCTGTGTTCAGAAAAAATCCAAACATTTGCCAGCTCGTTTTCTAGTTTATATATAACTGATCTTGTTTTTGACTTATTATTCTACATCATTTTTGGAAAAATATGGAGGTTTAGGCACTTCATCCTCGTATATCTTAGACGGAAACAAAGTCATTGTTAAACTAAAATTTATTTATTAAAATACAGGGTATGTTCTGAAATTAACGACATAAACACACAAAATGATCAAGACGAACTTGGTGATGATGAAGAAGAGTTTTATGAAGACAATGATTTGGATAGTAATAATTCAAATAATAATACTCGTTGTGATGATCCTTATTCTCCAAAATCGTTTAGAAGTGGAGGGACTAATAGTAGTTGTTGTAATAGACATTCTTCTTTGGAAAGTGTTGGAGGAGGAAGTGGAGGTGGAGGTGGAGGAGGATTGCACAAAAATATAGCTACAAATATAAGAAGGAGAAGAAGAAAGGGAGGAGGAGGAAGAGAAGGAGGGGGAGAAAGAGGGGAATCTTCCTTCAACTTAATTCGAAGACCTTTAAGCGGTGCTAGTGATTCTAACGATGTTTCTTCTGATCGTACACCAATACAATCAACACATCATAGTGATGAAAGTAGTTCTGAATTTGCTTCGGAAGGAGAACAACAACAACAACAACAACGAGAAAATATTGAGGAAGAGGATGAAGGAGGGGAAGATGTTGAGGAAGAAGAAGAAATGGGAGGGGGAAGAAGAGAAATGGTGGGGGGAAGGAAAGAAGAAAGTGAGATGAGACGTGAATCAAATTTAATGAGAATTTGTGGGGGTGATAATCAAGAGAATAATCAGTTAATGGATGAACACAAGATGGTTGTAATGCGAAGAAAAGAAAATAAAAAATTTTCAAAAATTTTGTTGTCTTCAATATCCCCAAGAAAACAACAACAGCAAAATCAACAACAATTCCCTTCTTCTTCTACAACATCCACTATATCACCTTCAATAAACACAACTACAGCAAAACAACACAAACTTATTGGAAGAAGAAATTCTAGTGCAGAATCTTCTTCCCAACATTCAAATTCATTACATACAACAACAACACATTCTATTATTCCTTTATTTTCTGAAATACAACAACAACATCAACAATTTAAACAGCAACAAAATACAAAATGTTTTGATGAAGAACAACAACAACAACAAAATAATTATTTGCGACTAGAATGTTCACATCATATTTCTGGAATGGTTTGTGTTTTAATAATTTATTAATGTGTTTTTATGTTTGTTTTAAATTATGTTTGTGTTTTGATGTTTTTGTTTATTCTGATTTATATGTATTTTTGTATTTTATATTATAATTCTGGTTTCTGCTTTTGTGTTTTTGTTTAAATTCTGATTTACTTAGTTACATTCTAGTGTTTTTGTTTTATCTTTGTTCGTTTTGTGTTCTGGTTTTTGTGTTTCTGGTTTGTTTGTTTTGTATTCTGGTTTTTTGTGTTTTTGTATTTCTTTTTTTAATAGTATAATTCTGATTTGCGTGTTTTCTTATTTGTATTTTATTTCTAATATTAATTTTTAAATATTTTCAGGTTGAACATTTATGGAATAATTTAATTTCTCGCTTAGACAACGATCAAAATGGAATAATAATTTCAAATTCAATTATTTTATTAACACAACTTTTTCGAGTAAATTAAAAAATATTTTTTTATTATTCAAAAAAAAATTTTAAGGAGAAAAGTATTTTTCTTGTTCGTATTTTGAGGGATTCTTTGGATATTTTTAATTCCTCACAACAACAAAAAATGTCTACAGATATTTCCCAATTATTTTTACGTTCTTTAAATTTTCTTTTAAAATTTGTTGAATGTCCTTTCCTTTTTGTATCTTCTCAATTTGTGAGTTTTTATTTAAAAATTTGAAAAAAATTAATTTTTTAGATTAATTCGTCTAATTTACTCGATTCAATAAAAATTGCTCTATTTGAACTACGTGAACATTTTGATGTTTGTCTTATTATAAAATAAATTTTGAAAAGTTTTTTTTTAATTTTAAGGCATTTAATGAACATTATGAACAATCTTTAAGGGTAAGTTTGTATTTTGTTTTAATTAATTTCTGAAAAAAATTAAATTCTGATTTTTGTATTTTTCTTTCACGAATTCTGATTTTCTGTATTTTTTCATTATTCATTTATAAATTTCTCAAAATTCTGATTTTTATAAACACTTTAAAACTTGTGTTTTCTCAGAATTCTGTTTTTCCGTATTTTTTGTATTTTTCTTTTTAAAAATTCTGATCTTGTATTTTCTTTCAAGAGTTCTGATTTTTGTATTTTCTTTTTAAGATTTCTGATCTTGTATTTTCCTTTAAGAGTTCTGATTTTTGTATTTTCTCTTTAAGATTTCTGATGTTTTGTATTTTCTTTGTATTTCTGTATTTTATTTTCTAAAATTCTGGTTTTTGTATTTTCTTTTTCTATTAATTTAATATTCTGATTTTTAAATTCTCTTTTTCTTTTGTGTTTTCTTTTTATTTTCTTCTGATAATTATTTAAAACATACCTGTGTGTTTTTATTTTAAATTTTAATCCTTTTTTCTTCTTTAATAATTCTCATTATTTATTATTTCATTTTTAACCGGTCATCATCATTTTTTACTCTTGGGATTTTTCTTGTCGGTATTTTTATTTATTTTTCTTGTTGTCACTTGGCAATTTTTTAGAAAGAGTCATTTTATCTTTTTTTTTATTGCTTTAAAATAAAAAGGAAAAATCCTTACATTTTTGGAAAATAAAAGAGAGAGGAGGGAAAATGTGTCCATTTTTAACCTATATTTTATTTTTCTAGCTCTCAAATTTCAAAAATTAAAAAAAAATATACAAAATAGGAGAGGCACATGGAAAGCGTTAAAAAAGAAAAAAAGGAAAGAAAATTGTGTGGAAAAATTTTTTTTAATTTAAAGGCTCTTAATATGGTCAAAACATCACAAAAATTATTATTAATTAGTGGAGCCGAAAATAAAAATAATAATTTTGGAGATACAACAACAACTTCTAGTTTAACAACAACATCAACAATAAATAATTCTTTTAACCAACAATTCCAAATTATTAAAAATCAAGTTTGTTTTGTTTGTTTGTTGTGTTTAATTGTTGTTGCGTTTTGTTGTTGTTTGTTTTGTTTGTGTTCTGATTTTTGTTTTGATAGCCTCTGAATTCTGATTGTTTTTCTAGATTTCTGATTTGTGTTTTGCTCTGGTTTTTATTCTGATTTTGTGTGTGTGTGTTTTACTCTGTGTGTTTTGTGTTTTTTGTGTGTTTTTACTCTGGTTTTTATTCTGATAATTGTTTTGATATTCTGTTGTTATTGTTGTTGTGTTTGTTGTTTTGTTCTGATTTTTATTTTGTCTCTTGTTCTGATATTAATTGCTACTTGTTTTGTTTGTATATTTGTTCTGTTTCTTGTCTAATATTAATAATTAGATGTTTGTTATTTGTTCTGGTTTTTATTCTGTTTTTAAACTATTTTCTAAGTTTAATATTAATCTTAATTTTCTAACAGGAGTTTCTTCTATACAAATCTTTACACAAACTTTGTTTTCAATTATTGCTAGTTGTTGAAAAATTTATTGAAATGTGTTTGTCTGTTCAGAATTTTAATAATTCTCAGGTAAAATTAAAAATAATTTCAAAAAAATTTTTTTTATTTTTTAGGAGTCAGATTTAACTCCAGCAGTAGCTTCTCTCCAAAAAGAATTACTTTCACATTTATCAACATCCTCGTCTTTAGATTCTTTTAAAACATCCAATTTAAGTTTAGAAGGAGGAGGGGGGAATACTTGTTGTAGTAATTCTTCTTCAATTATATCAAAACAACAAAATTTTGATTTAAATCAATCTAGAGATGTTTTAATGTTACACACAACAAATAAACAATTTAGAAATGCTTTTGGGAAGTTGACACAATTGAGGTAATTTAGAAGAGAGGAGAGGAGAATTAGGGTTGTTGGACTAAAATGGGAAATTAATAGTAAGAGGGGGAGTCAATTTTTGATTTTTTTTAAAAATTTGGGACAAAATCCAAATGAAAATTTACACTAAAATCCTCCTATGGCTTTTGACAATTTCGAGCTCTATATCCCAGTCCACAGGCTTTTCAGGGAAAAAAGACTGGTACTGTTCGACTCAACACCTCTTATTACCCTATATATGACATTTTTAGTACCAATTTATCGTGGCGCGAACTTTGCGGACCCGAATTTTGCGGACCCGAACTTTGCGGACCCGAACTTTGCGGACCCGAATTTTGCGGACCCGAACTTTGCGGACCCGAATTTTGCGGAACGAAAGTTGCGGACCCGAAGGTTGCGGACACGAAATTTGCGGACCTGATTTTTGCGGAACCAAGATTTTAGGACCGACACGTGAGTAAAATTGAAAAATTAAAAATTTTACTTTTCGATGATTCCGGCAGAATTTACCATACTCCGTACCGGACTCATGATTTTTTCTTGATTTTTCAAAATTTTTATCAATTTCTTATCTTAAAATTATTTCATAATTTAAATAATCAAGAAAATTCCTTAAAAAATCATTTATATGGCCATTTCATAAGGTCATGATGCCTGAATTTATCCTAATTAACGCCGCAGGCTAAAATTTTTGAAATTTCCGAGGTTCAGTAGACTCTATTGTCAGCCCGCAAATTTTTGGTCCGCAAATCTCAGATCCGCAAAATTCGTGTCCGCATAGTTCGGGTCCGCAAAATTCGGGTCCGCAAAGTTCGAGTCCGCAAATTAAAATCCGCAAATTTCGGGTCCGCAAATTAAAATCCGCAAATTTCGGCGCGCCCCAATTTATGGGGAGGTGGCAGAACGGAAAAGTTGGACCTAAACGAATTTTCCAAAAAATTTAAAAAAATTTTTGTTTGATTTTTTAATTTATTTTCTGACCCGAACACGAATTCTGAACTGTCGGTATATATTTTTTGTATATATTTTAACATCAAAATTATTAAAATATACACAAAATAAGATTTTATTTGTCTAGACATTTGGGATATATGTACTTGTGTGCATATGTGTTTATAAAAATAAATAGAAAAAAAATATTTGCACTTACCCAAAAAAAATTTTTTTTTTGAAATTCTCGACAAAAAAAAATAATTTTTTTCTCATAATAATTTCTCTACACTCAATAAAAGTATTAAATTACTTTAAAGGAAAGAGAGAAATCCTTAAAAAACACTCAATCTAAATTTTTAGATCCCAATACTGTAATACATTTAATGGGCAATTTGGTTGTTGTGAACAAATAGATGTTGATGTACTTTTACTTAATTTTTGTAGAAGTCATTGTTCTTTACGTGTTTGGGCAATGATTGGGTCTTTTGAACAGGTGAGTGAGAAGAGATTTTTAAATAATATTTTTGTGGATATAGTGAAATTGAAAAATAAATAAATCAGAGAGTTTTTGTTATGAAATTGACTTGAAATTTAATGTGTCCACAGATATATTTGTTAGGTTGGTAATGTTTAGGTTAAATGCCCCCAATTATTTCCTCGCCTGTTCGTAAAGAAAATATAGTTTTATTTTCTTTGAATTTTAGCATAGTGCTTGATTAAAAGGATCTAATACCAAATGAAACAAACAAGTATTTGAAAAAAAAGTTATTTTTGAGAAAACAAGATTCTTACAGATGGAATTTTTGGTTTAAATGCCCACTTGAAATTTAATGTTTTTATGAACCTATGGTTTAAGTCCATAAAACGAAAAAGAATCTTCCCTAATATCTCTTTTTTCCGCTCAATTTTGGAAAGAAAAGTAGATTTTTCTGCTTTTAATTTTTCTATTTTTTATTTAACATTTATTTTTTCATTTTTTAGCTACGTTCTTGGTGCTCACAATTAAAAGAGTCAAATGTGCAAATTGGTATACTTTTAAGAAATATTTCTGACAAATAAAATATTTTATAAATTTTTAAATTACTTAAAAAAACTTGTATTTTACTTATATTTTTATTAGAAAAATTTGAATCAAAAAATAATATTTTAGAAAACAATTCTTTGGGGAGATTATTTAGAGTTGATCTCTTGGCTTGTGTTTTTAATTTAGTCAATTTAATTTTTTATTAGACGGTCGTTTTGGTGTAATGGATAGTGATTTAGGCTTATAATGAAAAATGGCTAAGGTTCGACTCCTTCAGGCTTCAAATAATTTTTTGAGAGTTTTCCAGATTTTTTAAATAAAAAATATTTTTTAAGAATTCTTTTATTTTATTCAAAATTTTTAAAAGTCTTACAAAAATTGAAAAATATTAAAATTTGGAATAATAAAAATTAATTTTTCATCGGTGGAATGGTGTTGGGGAAGAATTTCTTTAAATATTTTGGGTGGAAGAAAAAAAGAAAATGCTATTGAAAATACAAAATATGTAAATAAATATATACAAAAGTAAATAAAGAATATATCTAAAGCAACAGAAAAAAAGAGTAAAAAATTCTAAAATTAAAAAGAAAATTGGGGACCACGCCCTATTTGAACCCGTAAAAATTGAGGAAATAGAGAAGGATGGATGATCAGACAGAGAATCTTATTATTTGGTGTAGTAGGACTAGTGTGATTGGAAAGAAAATTTTTTTTAACATTAAATTTCATTTTTGAAAATTCAAAAATTTTGGGGTCCAAAAAATAAAAATTTTAAAAAATATTTCCCATACTCTAGTGTCCCCCAAACATATCAACATTTTTTTCCAATCACAACATGTCTATTAAACACTCTCTCAACTTTTCTCTAACAACGAGTTTACATCAAATTGGAATCTTTTAGAAACAAAAGGGGAAGATAATGTTTCTTGTTGTTGTTTATGTAAAGGAGAGGAGGATGTTTTTGTTGTTGTGTTTTCTTTTAAAATGTTGTTTTGTTGTTTTGGTTGTTCCAAACATTGTTGTTCTGGATGTTTTTCTTCTATTAAAATGTTTTGTTGGCCTATGTTTTGTTCTATGTTTTGTTGTTGCTCTTGATGTTTTTCTAAAATGTTTTGTTGTTTTTGATGTTGTTCTTGTTGATGTTTTTCTAAATGTTTTTGTTCTTCCAAATGTTTTTGTTGTTCCCCATTTTGTATTAATGTTTGTTGTTGTTGTATTCTTTTTAAACAATTTTGTTGTTGTTGTTGATTATTTAAATATTGTTGTTGTTGTTTTGCATATGCCATTTTATGTTGTAAAGCTACAATGAGTGGAGGGGGCAATTGTTGGTTATTATTAAAATTTTGAAAATTTGTTAAATGTTGTGGATAAGGATTTGGAAATAAAGAAGAAAGAGAAGATGTTGAGGGGGTTAATAAATGTTGAATTAAAGAAGGAGAAATTAATTGTTGTTGGGGAGGTAGAGGAAAATGATGTAAAGGTGGAGGAGGTAGTTGTGGCGGGGGTCTGTTACTGTTTGTTGGTATTTGTAAATGAGGTCGAAATCCTGGCTGTAAAATTAAAAAATTTTTTAGGCAGAAACATGTTTTGATAAATTCATAATTATTCCTAAAACATCAGAAATATGTTTCAAAAACATTTAAAACCAGAAAATATGTTGTGTTTTGTTTATATGTTAATTGAAGAAAAACACTGTTTGTGTTTTTGTGTTTCTGTATTTTTAATTCAAGTTTAATTCTGATTTGTATTTAATTCTGATTTGTATTTTTGCTTTGTATTTTTTATTGTTCTGATTTGTGTTTTATATTTCCTAATTTTATTTGTATTTTTCTAAAAATCAGAAATGTGTTTTAAATCAGAATTTGTGTTTTCCACAAATCAGAATTATTTTTCTAAAAACACAAACCAATGAATGCATTATTCCTCCTCCTCTTCCAATAGAAGTTGTTGTAGTTGTTGTTGTCATCCTCTCTCTATTATTATTTAAATTAAATATTCTTTTTCTTCCATTTTCAATAATTCCTCCTCCCCCTTCATTATTAGAACAATTAGAAGATATAGAAGAATTACTTTTTGCTCTTTTAGCTTTTGTAGGCCCTAAATTATCTTCAAAATCGTCATCACTGTCGTCTTCAGAATTTAAATTGCTTGTATTATTTCCACTTAAAATCCTGGCAATTTGTAAAGCTGAATTGCTAGAGGAGTTTGTTCTGTGTATAGCTAAACGCTTCTTTTCTCGTTTACCAGCTCCGCTGTCTCTAAAACCCTTGGCAAAGGGATTGTTGTCGATTTTTAAGTCTGTTATCTGAAAAATAATGTTTTGTATTTTGTGTTTTTCTGATTTTTATTTTTGTGTTTTCATTAATTCTGATTTTTAAGTTGTATTTTTTGTATTTATTTTAAGTTGTATTTTTCCAAATTCTGGTTTTAGTGTTTTTAAAGTTTAATTTCTGATTTTTATTTTGTATTTTTTTGTATTTTTTCTAAATTCTGGTTTCCAAGTTGTATTTAATTTCTGATATTTTGTATTTTCTTTTCTAGTTCTGGTTTTTATTTATTTGTTTAATTCTGATTTGTATTTTATCTTTTCTGATTTTCATTTTCTGACTGTATTTTTAATTCGTATTTTCAACTGTATTTTTCAGAATTAAGTTTTAAAATTCTGGTATTTTCAGAATTAAAAACACACTCCCTTATAAACACATTTGTGTTTTCTCCTACAAAGCTCTCCCACTTATTTAAAGTTTATTTATTTATTTCGTTTATTTGGCACTAAATTACATTGCGTGTCTACTCAATTAAGTTTTCCCTCCTTTTTCTTTTCTAAAAACAATTTATAGACTTAAAATATTCCTTTGAGACCCCAAAATTACTTTTAAATTTTTTTTCAATTTTTTTCTTTCAATTTTTTTCTCAGAAAATTTCCTTTTCTTCATTAAAAACATATTTTTCTCTTAGGATTAATCCATAAAATATTAAATAAATACCGTAAAGCGGTTAAATTGAAAAGAAAATTAGAAAAAGAATAAATATATAGTTGACTAATTTTCTTTTCATAATTTTTTAGCTTTTAAAAACCGGAAAAGTGTTTTGTGTTGTTGTTAAACCACCCAAAAATGGCCAAAAAGAGACAATAAAATAGCGGAAAGAAAAAAAGGAAAAGGAGAATAAATAATGAAGGGAGATGGGTAAAAGTAAGGGAGAGGGAAAAAGCTGATAAAACACGCAAAGTGAAAAGAAAAATAACCAATAAAAAGAGACTGGTAGAAAATAAGCGGAAAAATGTTTTTGTTTTCAAAGATAAATAATAAAAAAAAGAAAATGTTGTTAAAACTACTGTATGGGGAGGAGATGGGAGAGAGAGAGTTTAAAATAGGAGTGAAAAAATAAACTTGAATTAAAATCAGAAAAAGAAAATACAAAATCAGAATAAAACTAAAATCAGAATTTAAAAATCAGAATTTAATAAAACAAAAATACAAAGAAAACACATTTAAATTGAAAATCAGAATTAAAGAATAAAAACACAAATAATAATTAAATCAGAATTAAACTTGAAAAATCAGAAATACCATCAGAACAATCAAAAAACAATTAATAATCAGAAATCAGAAATTCGAAAAATAAATCAGAATTAGATATAGACAAACAAAAATACAAATCAGAAATTTAAACAAACAAACAGAATTAAAAACTAATGTAAACAGAAATACAAATCAGAATTAAATTTAAACAAAAACACAAAGAAAACACAAAGAAAAAACACAAAGAAAACACATTAAATAAAATATGTTGCAAACACAATAAATAAAAACACAATAATTTATTAATTCTGATATATTTAATTCCTTCCTTAAGTCTAAAATTGCACAGCGCTTCCTTTTCTTTGTTTTCCCATGTGGATTGAGGGGCAAAACAATTTGAAAAATCATAAAAATATTTTTAGTCGGCAAGGTGATGATTGATAGAAGGAAACATGGAAAGGGCGTAAAAATTATTTTTAGAAAAGAAAAAAAATAATTTTCTCCCTCAAGGGGGGGGGGGAAGGGTTACGACATGCGCCGTGTCAGCACATTCAACCAGTCAATCTACTAATCCCCCTTTATTTTTCCTTCTTTTCTTTTTATTATTTTATGGCAACTATAAGAGAATATAATCCTTAAATTTACTCAAAAAAATATTTTCGGCATAAATTTTGAAAAAGAAAACGATTAAAAATAAGGAAGGATTACGACCTTAAAATATAAATTATAAGAGAAAATAAAATAAATTTTGTGGCATTTTTGGCAATTTTTAAAGAAAAATATTGAAAAATATGGTAATTCAACTAATAACACTTTCTACATGTTTTCTGATAAAAACTTGAAAAATGCAGAAAATACAAAACAGAAAACACAAAACAGAAAATACAACTAAAAAATTCTGGTTAATTTGAAATTCTGATAATTCTAACATTATTATGTTTGTGTTTTTCTAAAATTCTGATTTATTTTTAATGTATTTTATATAATTCTGATTTGTCCTTTGTATTTTTTAAAATAATTCTGATTTATCAATCAACCTTTTACAAATTAAAAATGCAAATCAGAAATACAATTCTGGTTTATTCTTGTGTTTCATTTTCTCATTAATTCTGATTTACTATACTTTTGTATTTTCAATTAAAATATTTATTTTGTGTTTTAATTCTAATGTATTTTTTCTAAATGTATTTTTTTATCTATCAGAAAATCAAAACAAAAATCAGAAAACCATAAAAATTTATTACTTGCCTGGCTATTTTGATAGGCAGTGACTGCAATAAATTCCGTTTCAGGAAACACAGTTGTAGACCAATTAGCTACTTTGTAGGAATGTACATCGTTTGAACGAACAATGTGTATACGAGGTTGGTATTTGTGCATAGAGTTGAGAACAGTCTGAAAAAGGAAAAATACAAATAAATTTTGTTTGTTTGTGTTTTTATTCATATCAGAATGAAATAAAATACAAATTCTGGTTTACTTGTGTTTTCTGTTTATTAATGTGTTTCATTATTCTGATTATTCTATTTTGTATTTCTGATTTTAAAAAGATTGTATTTCAAACAATTCTGATTTCTATTTTTCTAATAATTCTGATTTAAACAAATAAAGTGTTTTTCTGTAATTCTGATATTTATAAAACATGTGTTTTAATTCTGGTTTAATGTATTTTTGTATTTTACTTTGTATTTTATTCTGATTTTTGTATTTAATTTAATAATTCTGATTTCTGTGTTTTTCAACAAACTCTTGTATTTTAATTCTGATTTTTTAATAGCCAAATTCCCTCGTCTTTTCTTATTTAATCCGCCTGGTCAAACACAAAAATACATATAAATGTTGTAATAAATCAGAATACATATATTTAAAACGCCTATTTTCTTCCATTTAATTTCTACAGAGTCCATCAATCTTTCTGACGGCCAATCATTTGTATGTGTGTTTTTAAGACAAAAACAAGCAGATGAGTAAAACAATACAAGGGGAGGAAAATATTAAAAATAAAAATGAAAAATGGATTGAACAAATGTTTCTTTTCTTTCCTTTTAATCCTTCCCCTTCCCTCCAAACTTTCTTTTATTTCGGGGTATTAAAATAAAAATACCCAAGATGCTTTAAGGTGATCAATCAGTTACTAGCTATTAAATATTGGCAAATTCTTAAATATTAAAAAAAAGAAAGAGGGGGGGAGGAAACTTGACCGGGCCACCAGAGGTGATATTTAAAGAATCTCCTCTTAAAAGTTGGAGGAAAGGAAGATATGTCCCTAATGGCGACATTTTTACGGGAGAGAAAGGACAATACATAATCCAACAACAAATCACAGTATGTAAAAGGATGGAGATTTTTAATTTAAAAACATTCTAGATTGTCAAAAACCTTCCAGATTTTTCGAGATATTTATCAAGTATTTGGACAAACAAGTCCGATATCTAGTCAAAATTAAAGACAATACAGTGACAAATGTAATGTGTTTGCCATATTTTAACCTCCCTTTTTATATAAATTCGGATTGGGATTTAATTTAAAAATGTATTTTTTGTTTCAAGATGACAATTTTTGAATCATTATTTGATTAAAAAATCCCTCAGAGTCGCTGATGCTGGTTTCGAATCGGGCAATATTTTTTCCGTTTTCTAGACTTTACAAGACTATAAGTTCCTTTCGGGTTAGTTTGAGTTAGTTCCTCTGCTACCAATCAATACAAAAATATTATTATCTACCAGAGGTGATCGGAACAGTCAGAAGTGTCGGAAACCGGAAGAGCCGGAAATCGGAACTGTCTTAAAAGTCGGAACTCGGAAATCGGAAATAAAATTTTTTTCGGAAATCGAAATTCCGACCCACCTCTGCTACCAACCAAAACATAAAAATATTTTTATTAATTTCCCCTTCCTTACATTTTTGAGGATACGGTGTTTGGACTTTTCTTTCCCTTTTCCCCCAACGCCTCTCCCCTCTTTTTTCTATCAAAAAGCTATAAAGGTGTATAAAATAAATATTTAGGCCACAGCACTCCATCAAAAAAATATTTTTTTTTTGTTTTCTCCCCCCTTCCATTCAAAGCGCAAATAAACAGAAAAAAAATTCTCCCCCACTCAATATCGGTTAAATGACGAGAAAAATATGTTTTTAGGGAAGGTAAGAAAATTAAGTAGTTAAATAATATTTAGAAGAGCAACAGAGAATTACGGGAGTGGAGGTAAATACTTAAGTAAATAAAAATATTTTTGGGCCAATAAAAAGAGAAGAAGAGAGGGGGGGGGGAGGGGGACTAGGACTACTTTTTTAATAAAAAAAAGATAAGTAAATTGAGAGGAAGAGAAGTGTTTGGTTGGTGGTTGGTCGCGCGACGTTGGCACCCCCCTCTCCCCTTTCCTTCCATTCCCCCCTCTCCTTCAACTTCTTTCATTCACCCTCCTTCCCTCTGTTTATTCTCCCGGTTTTCTGTTATCAAGAAAAAAGAGGGAAAGAAGAAAAGTGTAAAAGCGTGGGGGACTTGTTATCGTTGTCGCTCTCGGGTGGTAAAAATGGGGAGACTGCCACTGTTTGTTGTCGATGAAGTGTGTCAGTTTTAGAGAGAACTTGTTGGTAGTTGTTGATAGGACACCTTCCTTACAAAATTAATAAAAAATAATTTTCCTCTCAAAGTTTTGTAGAAGATTAGAAGGGAAAGAGGAGGGGGGAGGGAGGGAAGCGGGGAAGACTTTACTTCAAAAATATATTTTCTCGACCCCAAAAATTGAAAGCGATAAAGTAACTAGAAAAAAAGAGGAAAAAAGGGGATTAGCTATTTTATAGCAATAAGTGGTTAAGTAAGTGGAAAAAGTAAAAAAAGAAGAGAGGTAAGAAAATAAACGAGAAAATAAAGAGGTAAGCTAATATAAATGCGCGAAGAAAAGTAAATAGAAGTTGAAGAGAGAAGTTAGAGAAAATAAGTAAAATTTAAATAATATCAGAATTAATTAAACTTTTTATTTAAAATCAGAATTAGTAAAAATACAATTAAACTTGAATCAGAATACGTAAAATACAAACATTGTATTTTCATGGTAAATCAGAATTAGCTAAAATACACAATATTATTAAATCAGAATAGAGGGAAAATACACTTAATGAATATAAATCAGAAATACATTAAAACTTGTAATACAATGAAAAATCAGAATTATTTGTATTTCACCCCTAAAACTTTAAAACACATTTTAATTAAATACTCACGAATTCTGCCTTGTTTGTAGCATTGTTTGTCACCTTTACACGATGAAAACTTGCTCCTTTAGCCATCCAATGTTCACCCGTAGCAGGCGAATCTGGGTGGATATGTAGAGGTTTTTGAAGTTCAGGATCTGCCTTCCCCGCCACAGTCCAACGAGAATTGTGGAATTTCCAACGATTTGCATCACAGGGAACTATATCCTTCAAATAATTTTTATTTTATTTTTGAAAATTTTTAAATTACCATTATGACATAATAATTGGCCTTTTTGTCCAGTCCAGACAGTTTGACTTTTAAGGCAGGAAAGATTCGCCTATTAAAATCAGAATTAAAAAAGAAGCAAAAATACAAATGATAAACTTGAATCAGAATTAAAAGTTTAATTAGATCAGAATTACAGAAAACACAATAAATCAGAACACGAAATAAACACTTAAAATACAATCAGAATTTTTAATAAAAACAAAGCCAGAATTAAACTTTACCAAAAACATTAAATTAAAATCAGAATATTATTACAACTTGAATTAAAACATAAAATACAAAACTATCAGAAACACAATTTAAATAAAACACAGTAAATCAGAATTAAAGTTGTATTTTATTTGTCAACCTATTTAAAAACACAAACTTTTCTTACAACTTGAAATACAATAATTTTCTCTAATTAAAACTTGGACAAGTTTATTTTTCTTTCTCTATCAGATAACATCTTTCTCTACTATTTATTACTATATTTTCCCAAGTTTTATTTTTCCATAAAAATAAGAGAAAAGGTTTTAGGGGACTAATTATTTTTGTATTTTCTTTTTATTATTTTTAAGACGCGTGTCTATCCCCTCAAAACATTTTAAATATTTCCCACACTTTTTAACTTATTTTATTTTTTTTCTCTATTTAATCTTTATTTAATCGTTCACGCCATTTAATTGTCACTTCTTTCAAATAAATAACCAAATCCATGGCGCAATGAATTGGAAAATAAATTTTTTTCTGATCAAAACAATTTATTTTTAATTGTTTCCCCTTATAAAAATTTAAAAAGAAATTTCCTTTTAATTTTAAAAACACAGGCCTAAATATTAAATAAATAGAGAGACTGCCAGAATGAGAGGGAGACTGTCTGTTTGCTAGAGAAATTAAAGTTTTCAACTTTTTTCTGAAACTTGGAAATAAATTCTGAAAATATTAAAAACACAAACTTAATCAAAAAATACATTCAGAATAAAATACAATGTTCTGGGAAGGTTTAATTCTGATTTAATTTTTATTAAATATTCTGATTGTATTTTATGTTTATTTCGTGTTCTGATTTAAAATAAAATACAAAATACATAAATCAGAACACCAAATAAACATGAAACACAATTTTTAATAAAAACAAAACCAGAATTAAACCTTCTCAAAAACATTAAATTAAAATCAGAATATCAACAAAACTTGAATTCAAACATAAAATACAAAACTTGACCAGAAAAACATTTTTAATTAAACTTTTTCTGAAACACATTTCCCCCCAAAACAAACCAATTAAAAACTTGTTTTTACCTTCCACTCTTTGTAATAATCATTTCATTAACCAAAGGATTAAATTTTTCCCATAAATCTTTATCTTCTAATTGAACAACAGGGTTATCTTTAATTCCATCATCTATTTTGGTTATTGGAAAGGGTGGGTGATTTATTGAAGGTATTGCTGTTGTTCCAAATATTTCTCTAGAAGCAAAATCAAAAGGAGAAAAACGGAGAGGAGTGTGGAGAGGCCAAAGAGGAGGATGAGGAGGTCTTCCTTAAAATTGGAAAAAATTAAATTTTAATTAAATTAAAATGAGAAGAAAGCACCCAAAAAACCTATCTTAATAAAAGAAACACAAAACAAGTAAAACACAAAAACTTAAATCAGAATTTAATTAAAACATCCAATAAAAACCAGAACTGATTAAAATAAACTTGCTAAAACATGAATAAAAATCAGAAAAACACAGAAAAACACAAAAATCAGAATTTAATAAAAACCAGAATTATTTGGGGGAAATAAATGTATTTTTCTTTAAATAATTCTGATTTTTATTTAATTCTGATTTTTGTATTTTTCTGTGTTTTCTGTGTTTTATTTATTCGTGTGTTTTATTAAAACTACCTCTATTAAATGAAGGAAAGTTTCCAGAAGTTGTCGACCCCAACAATTGTGCGAATATTTCAGGCCTATTAATTGCCATTTGGAGAATATTTGGAGGGCCAAAATTTTGAACATCCCCCATTGGTTTTGGGGGGTTTATTGAATTATTTAAACTTGTGGAAATGTGGGTATTTTGAGGATTTGACATTCCGACATTGACATTTTGAAAATTCGACATTTTGACATTTTCAGAAGAATTGGACAAATCCCCATCGATCTTGACGGGATTTGAGGGTTTTTCGTCTTTAGAGTTGTTATTTAAAGGAGGTGGTGATTGTTGGTGGTAGTGATGATTGTTGTTGGCCATATGGTAAGCCTTTGAAAAAAAGAACTAAATTATGAAATGAAAGAGTTGAAAAAAAACAAAAGGAGAATTTTTTGAAGAGGGGGAATAAATGTGAAAATTGACACCTCAAAAATGTATAAAAAATAAAATAAAAATGAAGTGAAAAATGTGGGGAATCCAGAAGATCGAAATTGTGAGGATTTTAAAGGTTGCCTCTCGATGGAGGTGGAGAGCAAATTTTGGTTGTGTTTTTAAGTCTCCTGGCCAGGTAACCCTCATTTTAAAGCGTTTTAACAGCTTAACATTCAAGTTTTCCATGTTGGGGGAATGGAGGAACAAGCGAAACTTGTAGGAGTCTTCTGGTCTTTTTTAAACTAAAATTCCTCGTCTGGGGGAGAAAACTAAATTAGAATATTGAGGAAACTAACAGAAAGTCAGTCAAACTCGGCAGCTATGGAAAAATATTAAGGAGCTTGAGTAGGGTTGTCGGTTCTAGACGGAACCGAGGATTCTTCGGTTCGATTTCGGATATCCGAAGAATTCCCATGAACCGACAACTCTAACCTAGAGGTACCAAGTAGACAGGCTTAATAGAAGGGTTGTGGGTAGTTGTGAGACAATTGATCCCAATTAAAAAAATAATTTTTTTTATCAAGTATTGCTCAACTAAAAAAAGACATCTCCCAACAATTTATATCCATCAACACCCAAAAAAAATTTAAAAAAAAGAAATTGTGTAGGCAAATATTGAGACGATTGGGCCGTTTGTCAGTCATTTACACACACACACAAAGGCGGGGCTGCTTCGTTTTTCACAATCCAATCCGCTTATGTGTCGGGCTAGGCGCGAATAACGACACGCCCAGGACAGACTAAAAGGAAAAAAGCGTTAAGAGAAAATAGGGAAAGAGGAGAAGGTGACAAAGAGGAGTGAAAAAATAGCGACACATAATTAGAGAGAATGGTAAAAATAAGAGAGACAGAACTTGGACAAACTTTTTGGCTCCGACACACTTTGCCAATAAGGCTAAAGACCTACGTTTTGTCAAAAAAGTTGTTGGCAAAATGTCGGATTTAGCCCTATTGGCAAAATGTCCCTTGGCAAAATGTCTAAAAAAGTCTTCTCTTCTTTTATTTTTATTCACACTCTTTTTAAGAGTAAAAGAAAAACTAAACACAACACTCTCTCATTTCTACACACTATTTCCACATAATTTTTTCTCTGCCAAGTTTTACACTAAACAAGCGTAATTTTCAGGGAGGAGTTTGACGCCTAGTAGGCGGAATTTTTTGTCTGACTTTTTAAAGCATTTTTAGGGCAGACAGGCAGGGAAAGAGAAAAAGACTTGCGCATTTACCATAATAGAGACTTGCCTTTCCCTTATAAAAATGACGTTATTAAAAAGCGTGTTGTTGGGGTGAAATAAAAAGAAACTGCCGCCGCCCTTTCATCAAGCCGACAAAATTTATGTTTGTTAATTTTTATTACAAAAAAGTGGGAGAAAAGAGAAAAGAATGATCAGTTAAGTGAACACAAAAGAAACAAAAATCTGTCAGAAAAAAATTCTTTTGGGCGACAACTTCCAACGCTTTTTTAGAAAAAGGTGATTAGGTTAGTTAGATATAGAAGAAGTCCTCTATCTTATGGACAATTTTTAGAAGAGACCCTCTATTTTAAGAATTAGAAGAGACGCTCTTTATAGGAGACTCTTAGTATACGAAAATAGAAGGACCCCTCTGTTTTATAGACGATTTTTAGTAGAGACCCTCTATTTTAGGGACTAGAAGAGACTCTCTTTATAGGAGACTCTCTATAACGAAAATGGAAGAGCCCCTCTGTTTTATGGACGATTTTTAGAAGAGACCTTCTATTGTAAGGAAAAAAGAAACCCTCTATATAAGAGACTCTCTATAACGAAAATAGAAGAACCCCTCTATTTAATGGATGATTTTTTAGAAAATACCCTCTATTTTAAGGAAAAAGAGTCCCTCTATATAGGAGACTCTGTAGAAGAATAGAAGAACCTCCCTGTCTTATGGACGATCTTCAGAAGAGAACTCTATTCTAAGGAAAAAATAGGCTCTCTATATAAGAGACTCTCTACTTAAACAATAGAAGAACAAAAATCTGTCATGTCACGCAGCTCAATTTTATAACGTTTACGACTTGAAACAACAAAAAAATGTCAAGGCGAGAAATACAAAACAACAAAACAAATTCAGGACAGAGTCATAAAAACTGGGGGAGAGAGAGAGAAAATAAAAACATAAAAACAGAAAATTTATTTTTAATGTTTTTATCTAAAATCTGTTGTTGACGAAAAACAATTAAAAAATGTAAACAGTGACTGACTTGTTTTGTGTTGATTTTTACAGGCTGACAGGACTGCGCAAGCACACACATTTTAAAGGGAAGGAGATAGGAGGGAATATAAAAAATATTAAAGAAAATCAAGTAGCTATTGTAGTGATGAGGGTATTGTGACATTTACTCTCTATTTTGTGGACTCTCTTTAAGCTAGAAGAGATTGGGCCGAGACTAGGGCTCGTTATAGAAGCTAGGCAAGAATCGTGATTTTTCGAGGTATTAATCTAGCATATTAATTGATCCATAAATCTGGTCTCTAGTCTCTATGGGGGTGGAACCGTCAGAAGTTTTGAAGGTCGGAAAATCTTGACCGATCCTCAAGTTTAGTCTCTAGTCTATATGGGGTGGAACCGTCAGAAGTCTTTTAGATAGGAAGACGGAAGCCCTCTATTTCATGGAGAGGGCTTCCGTATGGTCCTCAAGTTTGGTCTCTAGTCTATATGGGGGTGGAACAGTCATAAGTCTTTTAGGTTTGGGGGGCCACGGAACTCGAAAATAAATCAGAGGTTGAAATATCACTTCTTGAGGGGACAACTGTAGAGACTCAACTGGTGTAGGTTGAGGAGATCCTTGAGCGTCGAGAGGTCCTTGAGTGGAGGACTCACAGTAGGTCCCTGGGTGTCGTTATAATGGGACTCGACCCTATACATAGTGTGTACCCTCTATTTTATCGACTCTCATTTGAAGGTAAACTTCAGGAGGATTAATATAAAATACCCTCTATACAATGAACACCCCTAATAATGCACTCCCTATAGGTATATTAGAGTCCCATAAGAGTACAAACACTAAAGAAAGTCCAAAATATAAATTAATTTAATGCACTTCCATATTTACGGAAGGCAAAAGAGGATTAAAAGACAAGAGAAAATTAACAAAAAAAAGTGATCGGCAAAACACTGAAAAATTGGGTAAAGAAAGCCGACTAAATAAAAAATATTTAAGTCTCTTAAAAGCGGCCCAGAAGCCCTCAAAAACAAAGTCGAGAAGAGAAAATTTTCTGATCGCCTTATTTGGTGGCCGACACATTTTTTGTTGCTCCACCCATATATTTTCATTACACTACTTTTCTCTTATCTGTTGAGCAAACAATAGGAGGGGTAAGTAAATGAAGGGAGGATTGGGGACTAGACGAGAAAAATAATAAAAGAGGGGGGGGGGGATAGAAGTAAAAATCGAAATGTAAGACTCTGTAAGGGCGAGTTTCAAGTCAAGCATTTTTACGAGGAAATTTTTTGAAAATTCTAACCCGTAAGACGAGAAGAGAAAAAATAAAAAAAGTCGAGAACTTTTTTTCTCTTCTCGACTTTATTTTTTTTTCTGTCAAAAAATTTTTCCTTGAAAGCCCAAGCTTAATTTTTTAAATTTTGAGAGGGACGTTTCGGCGCAGTACAGTTATACGGTAAATCTAAATTTAAAATTTAAAAAAGTTAAAGAAATTGGGACAGTAAAAAATAAAAGGATTTATTTGCAATAGTTTTAAATATCTTCTGAAAAAAATTTAAGAATTTTGAGTTTATAATTTTAAAAGTTATGTGAAGAAAATCAACAAAAATAGGCCTATCCTTCTTCAAAAGACACCATTTTCGTAAATAATTTCAGAATTACAAAACCAGAAATTCTTAAATTTTCAGAGTGGTTAGCTACACATATTGAGGATATCCACACGAAATTCCAGGTTTCTAGGTGCTCATATGGTAATCTTATCGATATCAAGACTAATGCCTACTGCGCCGAAACGTCCCTTCCAGCTGAGGAGAGTTTAACAAAACCCACTTTTAAAAAATTTCAAAAAAAGAAAAACAGTCAATTTTCACAAACAAAAATTAGTAAATTAAATAGATGAGGGAGTGTTTTATATTCTAATAAGATGAAGAAAAGTTAGCGGCGAAAATGGAATGAAAAGTATGTAGTTGTTTGGAGGGGGGAAGGGGAGGGCCCGAGAAGGAAGAAGATTTTTTATATATTTATCTTAATTTTTAAACTTTTTTTTCTTTTTGCGCACTCCCGCCCTTAACTAATAACTCTCTCCTTCTAACTATTAATGATCAACAACTGTGCTGTTCCTATGAAAAAAATTTTTTTTCAACCGCAAAGTAATATATCCCCCCTTTAGGTAAGTACATAAAGTATTAATTTTCTTTCAAAAAAAATTTTTTTTGATTATAAATGTTTCTAGGTATTTAAGAGAACATTTGTTGGACTAGAGAGAATGTCTTTTTTCTTGTAAAGCATAAAAAGAACAGAAAAGAAAAATCATAGTTTAACCAGTGCCCTGTCAAAAGGAATTATTACAACAATTTTAGGTAGAAGAGCACTCCTTTAATGCTTCCGTTGTGTCGGCGAGAATGCAAAACAATATAATAAATATTCTTGTACTATCTAAAAATTTGATTGACGATTAGGAAAATGTTTAAAAAAGGAGAGGGGGGGGGGAGAGAAGAAAGAGTGGTCATTTGGGGGAAATCCTTAAAAAGGGGTTAATAAATAGTCCAAAATTAGAAGAAAAATATAAACAAAAAATTGATTTCAATTCGAAACTATCAAAAAATATTTAAAATAATTTTTAAAAATATTTAGACATTCAAAAAATGAAGAATATCGACAGATGGAGTCGAACCCGTGAACTATTTTAAATAAATAGAGAAACAGGCAAGAACGAATCCACTACACCACGAAGCTTCCATTCAAGTTTTAATAAAAAACAAATATATGCATCTAAAAACAACTTGAAAACAATAGAAAGACATTACAACAAAACAACTAGATCCCCAACTCCCTAATAGATTCTAATTTATCCTCATTTTCTTCTATGCCCATTTCATCTTCTCTTCTAATCAAAATACTTATTAAAGCCCTCAATATATCCAAATTCTTTCCATTTTCTTGCAAAATAATTCCATTTTTGAGATTATCTTCACCTTGTTTTAAAATCCGTGCATTGTCCATTTCACGAAGTAAAGGATAAATATTTGCATTTCGAAGAAAGGAACGGCCCAAACGAGTAGCGCAAAACTTGAAAACAAAAATAATTTTATTTAAATTAAAAGTCTACACAATTTTAATCAAATTTCAGCCTAAAATTAGCTCTTTTTGGCCAAATTTAGTCAATTTTATGGCACCAACTTATTCTATTTTGGCACTAAAAATTTGTGATTTATAGGTTTTGTAGCCCTAAATGTCCTCTATCGAATGGTATCAAGATCATTTCAAAAGGTATATCCAATCAAAAGTTATGGGGGTTGGCGCTCACCAAGTCCTCCTATCCCAAACCTCTCCCCTTATTTTAGACAAATCCAAAAAATATTTTTATTTTGCCTGGTAAACAGTACAAAGCGTCAATTCCCACAACTTCAAATCCCACTGTCTTGATTTCTCCCAATATTGAAGATCAGCAGGAAGATTTTCAATCTCTTCTTCAGACAATTTATCCTCACAGTCAACCAATGGAGACATTAGGGCAACCAAAAGTTTGTTTGCTTCCAAATCTTTAGAAAGCATTAAGGCATGGAATTCTGTTTTAAAAATATTTTTAGAATATATACAGTTTATAAAAATAAATAAATCGGTGGCATGTTTACCCACTTTATCCCCTTCCATGTTCCCTACACATTACCCTCCATGTTCCCTACACACTACCCCCTTAATGTTCCCTTCCAACTACCCCCATCCCCCCTTTCCTTTTTAGCCACACAATTTTCAGTAAAGCTCTAAATTCTCTCGCCAAATTTGTCGCTCCCGGAAAATTAATCCAAAAACGAAATCAAGCACTAAAAAACCTTCCTTAGCTCTTAATAGAAGCCACTCAAATATATCTTCTCGAATTTCTTCCCCACACCCTTCCCCCCAAAACATTTTCTTGGCAAACACTTTTTCTCTTCTTAATTTTTTTTTCTTCTTTCTCACAATGCCGGCCCATCAAATTTTGCGTGGTTATATCCCTCAAATTTGGACTAAAAACAAAAAAAAGTGTTTGGACAAAATTGTTTTGGAGTTGCTTAAAATTAAAAGAAACCCAAAAGATCACCACTGGAGAGAAGTGGTGATCTTATGGATAGTTACCAATTTGACCCCAAAACAGTTTGGCAACTGTAATTTGCTTGAAAAACAGTCAAGTGCCTAATAGCAAAACTCAATGGCTACTTTAAAAAATAGAAAAAAAATTTATATGCCAAGAGCAAAAAACTTGAGGAAAAATTAGAAAATCTAATTAGCCTAACAATTAATTAGCCGCTTTAAATAAATTATATAGCCTGAGGGCAAATATAAAAAATGGCAAAATAGTGGTAAAAAGGAAAAGGCAACAAATAGAAAATAAAAGCTTATCTGTAAATTGCAATCTTTAATTAAAACATGAGGGAAAATTGTAAAAGAAATAAAAAAAGAGGGGGAAAATGAGGAAGAAAAAATAGGTGGAAAAGATTTTTTAGTTGAAGCAAAAAACACTGTAGGTTTAAAATTGGTTATAATTAGTGTAAAATAGAAATAGAAAATGTGGAGGGGTCAAACAATATTTAAATTATTTTTAATTTTCAAAAAATCAGAATATAAGAAATGATTTTAAGAGATGGTACTTTTCCGTTATACGACCGCAAACCTCAGCTGACATGTATCGGATCCTAAGCTTTTAATGGGTGATCAGAACTGAACCATTAATTGGAAAAAAGATACTGATTATCGAGGGCCTTCGAATGATATAAAATTCATTTGTATAGGATCAAGTATAAAAAAGTTATAGCCGATCTAAGTCGGCTGAGGCTAAGTTTGTTGTCGTATAACGGAAAAGTACCGAAAAATTTCGTAGAAGCTAGAGGGAAGAGAACACGAGAGGGTAGTCTGTAAGGAACATATGGAGCAAGGAGGAAAGTGATTAAGAGGATAAAGGATTGGAAGCAAAAATTTCAATAGCAGCCAACAATGATTTGCAATCTTGCAAATGCTGTCTTTAAGGATTATAATATTAACATGCATTTCTCATAAAAACGATTTGTGTAAGCTAAAAGCAAGGGGAACGACAAGTATGTACATAATTTTCCGCACAGTACACCTACACTTTAAATTCAACAATTTTTCGAAGGTTTAATATTTTGAGACAAGGTATCGTTTGATAGAGCAGAAATTCAGCTACAAAAAATAGTATGATTCAAAGATTTGGAAGGTGAAAGGAAAGAAAATAAGGTTGAAGAACAAGAAGTGACCTTTAGTCAAACAGATCCGACTCACACGACTGCTGTATAGTATCGGAGGTATACTGTACAAAAACTTCATTTTTATCTTATTCATTTATAATTTAATCAAGTAATTTTATCGATTAATTCCAAACAATTAATTCATTCAAAAAATATCAAGTGTGACGTTAAACGAAAAATTTCCATTTTTTTTCTTGGCTCCTCTACCTACAAAACAATTCCCCCTTCGAAGAACAAAAATTAGCACACAAGTCCATCACTTTTTTATTTTTATTTTATTTTTATCAGTAACGATCTCTTACGCGCTATTTTTAAGGCAATCAGGCGTGAATAAATTGACCGTGTCTTTTCTTTCTCGCCTTTTAAAAGATAAAAATAAAAATACTTATTTTCACGCTGTTTTTATGAACACATATTTAATAGAATGAGGATAATTTAACGTGACGAATTGTGTAAAATTAAAAAGAAAAAAGGAACAAGAGCAATGACCAACAAACGGAAGAACACAGCCCGAGGGTGATGAATAAAAGGAGAACGATCGAAGAGAAAAAAGGGTTGGTTGGGCGCGGGGATATTTAGGCGTGGTCGAATAAAATCGACAAATGAGGACTTGGAAATTGGAAAATTTTCTAGAAACGTTTTTGAATGTGTTAGCTAGCTAGTCTAAAAATTTCAGAACTTTAGGTTGAATATTTTGACAATAAGAATTAAAAAATGCCAGTCAGAAAAATGCCTGTTTCGCTGTATTTTATGTATACAACTTAAAAAATAGTGAACAAAAAATTCTGAAATTTTTAAAGATGTTAGATAAGACAATATGGAACATTTTTGCAGAATTTCATGATCCTAGGTCCTTAATAACTAATTAAAAATTTACTCGACGCCGTAGCTTAACAGCGCCTAAATGGTCATTAAAAGCGATCGAGGCGTGAAGAAAGCAATTTTACAATTAAAAGAGGATCGAGGCCCTTTCTTTTTTTATTACTTTCTTATCTGCGTGAATCACTAAAAAATTTTTTTACACAGAAAATAAATTCAGAAAACAAGTATAACAACCACTTGATAGAAGGGAAGGGGAACAGCAAGTCAGTCAACAAGCAGAGCAAGTCCATAAAATGCAAATTAATTTTTACGATTGTTTGCCTGGGAGTAATAAAGTAGCCCCCAAAAACAATCATAAAAATTGAAAGATATAATATTTAGATGCAAACATTAAACTCTATTTTTTTATTGCAAATTATTGGAGAGAATAATATCACAATCCTTGGGAAGTGGGGCGAGAATGAGGGGAAGGAAGGGGAAGGAAGGAGAAAGTAATTTGAGAGGGGCTAACTTTAAATTCAACAATTTTTCGATGGATATATATTTTGGGACAATCTTGGTATCATTTGATAGAGCAGAAATTCAGCTACAAAGTATGGATCGAAGTTTTGGGGGAATGGGAAGAAGGGAAACTGGGGGAGAAAAACGAGAAGCTGAAGAAGATTGTAATTAGCATCTATTAACATGGTTTCCTCAAAACTTTTTTTTGCAAAATAAATATTTTATTATATGTAGGTATCGTTTAACAAAGAAGGGAGTTATTAGCTAAGTACTATAAATAGAATTTAAAAAGAGATTTACAATGATGAGATAATAAAGTTAAGGCCGAAGAAACGTACGTGGATGGGAGAAAGAATATTAAAATTAAGCTGAGTTTAGGCAAAGGTCTGAGATTTACTGTATACAATGACCAAGATTCCTAGATTCTTCCTGAATGCTAGGTGTCACAGATGCCATGGCCACTTTTAAAAGATCTTGATTTTTAGTAAGGAGAGGAAGGACTAAACGAACGGCCGTTAATGAAAAAATAATTTGGAAAGTAGCTTTTGATTTATCCAACATCCCCAGATTATTACTCTGAAAGGTTAATCAAATCAAAAGTATAATAAAATCTAGAGCCCTTCGAAACAGCAATAAATTGCCCTAAAAACTAATAAAAACTAAACAACATAAACAAATCGTTAAATCACCTCGTTGTAGGGCAACAAAAGTTTAAAAATAAAAAAAGATAGAGCAAAAACTACCCTGTCAAAAAAGCCGTAAAATCAGCGAAGGTAAAAAAGTCGTTAAAAATTAAAATAATTTTTTCGTTCGTTCAGGTAAGAGAGATAAAGAAAATGGGAAAGTTTAGTGGGTAAATTAGGGGGAAAAATAAACAAAAATAAATTAAGAATTTGTTAAAAGAGGTTATCACATTTTGTGTTAGAAAATTAATTTATTTTGAAAAAATTTTAAAAAGTTTAAGAAAATTTAAAAAGACGAAAAGGAGAAGTAGGGGGGAAAAGGAAAAGAAAATAAAGTAAAAATAAAATTTTTGGTGTAGTGGGATAGTGTTTGGTTTTCCCCTAAAAGGGAAGAAGGTTCGAACCCTTTTGGGGGAAATAATTTTTATTTTGAAGAAAATGAGGAATAAATGACTTTAAAACATTTCTAAGTTATTTAAAGCGTTAATAACTTTTTATTTTAATTAAAAAAAGGATTCCAAAGGTAAATTTCCCGTAAAGAAAAGTGACGTCATATGTTTTCAGTCCAAATTTTGGCAAAATTTTGTTTATATTTCTTTTTTTTTTAAACAAAACATATTGAGAAAAAAAACATATTGAGGGAGGATTAAAGCAGGAAGTGCCGAAAATGATTTTAAAAAACGAAACGCCAAAGAAACCGAATATCAGCGGAAGGGAAGTGATGAAACTGGCCCTTCACTAGGACTAGGGTTGTCATTTTCGAGATGGGCCGGCGTTCAAATCATTTTTTCGGGCCTCATTTTTATCATGAGTCTTTTTCGGGCCAAAATTTGATGCGCAACTCGATCTTTCGGCCCGAGCCGGCAGCCCTACCTAGGACGTAGATCCTCTCCTAATATCCGAAAAAATTGAGGACGAAAAAGAGAAATATAAACTAAATTTAAAAAAATTAAAAAATAAACCATCTTGAAGTGACAAATTGTAAACTACTTGAAGAGTTGAAGATTTAACTTGATAGGTCTCTCCATAAGACAATAAAGAAGAAAAAGAATCCAATTTATTTGTTGCAATTAAAACAGCAAAAGATTTGACTGTTGAAAGGTTAACTACCAAAAATCCTTTAAAAAATAAAATTAATTTTTTAGGCAAAAAAAAAATTTTTTTTTAAGAAACCTAAATAAGTTGATAATTCGCTGTTTTTGGAAGTATTTTGAGTTAGAAAGTGATCTGAAAAATAAAAATTAATAAAAATATACAAATAGGGGTTATAAACAAAAAAAGACTCGGAGAATCCACAATCCAATTTTATTTGTTGCAAAAAAATCTGCGGATAATTTTTTTGTCCGCTAAAACTATCCGCATTTTTTGTTCATAAAAAATAGCCCACAGAATCTGTCAGTAAAAATATCCGCAAATAACTGAGTTTTGCAGACGAAAAAGACAGCCAAAAACCCCTACAAAAATTGTCCGGAACCCTCCTATTTCCACTAGAAGTAAGAATTTTTGAAAAGCCAGGGCCTGTTCCTGGGTTCCAGTTTTGATTTATTGACCTGAGCCTGATCCTGTAGTCCAGGAAAACCCCAGTAAGGTCAAAAAATGCCTAGGCCTGGGTTTTTCCTGGACTACAGTCCAGGCATTTTTTGACCTACCTGGGTTTTTCCTAGGCATGGTTGACTTTCCCAGGAAGATCAAAAAATGCCTGGACTGTAGTCCAGAAAAACCCCAAGCCTTGGTCCACACCAAGCCGATCTCTAATTTCCACCCACCCCAAAAAATAAAAATTAAAAAAAATAAACCAATCAATTTAGAGCCAAATCCAACATCATAACAATTCAATTTGTTCACAAATTCTTCAGGAAATTGTCTAGAAATATTAACAAATACTTGTACAGTTAAAGTAGAGTATTCCCCCTCTTCCTCCTCCAAAAATTTGGATAATTTTAAACAAATTTGTTTAGAATTAATTAAAAGAGAGGAAAATTTAGAGGATTTAATGGCCGTTAAATTAATTAAAATTGACAATAATAAAATTAAATTTGAAGAAGAAAGTGTTGGGGAAGAGAAGATTTGGGCAATTTTTTGGAAAAATAAGAGGATTTCGTTGTTGGATAAATTTTCAAAATAATTTTCTTCCAATTCAAGTAATAGTTGTAAGGCTGAATTTAATATGTGGTTGGGTGTTGAAGGGTGGAGAAATTGGAGAAGTTCTGAGAAAGACATTTTCTCTTGTATTTTTCCTGAAAAAAAATAAATAAAAAAATTAAAATTCTTTTGAATTTTTTGAAAAAAAAATTTTTGAAAAATATTTTGAAAATTTTCAAACGTTTTGTTAAAATTATTAGAGCGAGCTGGATCCAGACATTGGCTGTAGTGTAGTGTACCGGTGGTAAAAGTTCGGGACATGACATATGTCATTCGATTCGTCTCGACGAGCTGAGTCGAACGGTACCACTCACTACTTTAGGAAATAATTCTGGACCGAGTTATAGGTCCCGAAAAATCGAAAAACCAAAGGGGGGACCAAGCACTTTTTTGGGGTGAAAAATTCGAAAATGCAAATTATACCTCATTCGAAAGAGCTCGTCGAGCTGAGTCGAATGACAACAAAATCAACAAAATCCGACTTGATTTGCAAAGTTATGACCGTTTGTTTTAGCTCCTTACCTATGTCATCTGTGGAGATTTTTGCTGCTATGGAGGCCCCAAATACGTCCAGAGCAAGGGAGATAGGAATAGGTTTATGTTACGAGCCCAGACCCAGCGCCCGTAGACTCCCCGCGAGGCGCGTGCCGCAAAACCCCGCGCGAAGCGCGGGGTTTTGCACAAGCGCCTCGCCGACGCTTCATAGGTTTAGGTTTTTTGTATCATAATTTTGTCTAATCTTGTCCAATCACGGTGATTTTGATGTCATTCGACTCAGCTCGTCGAGCTCTTTCGAATGAGCTAACAATTGTAGAATCGAATTTTTGACCCTAAAATCCCTCCTATGGTTTTTGACCATTTCGAGCCCTATATCTCGACTCAAACTTGTTCAATCAAGCTGATTTTGGTGTCATGCGACTCAGCTCGACGAGCTCTTTCGAATGAGGTATAATTTGCATTTTCGAATTTTTCACCCCAAAAAAGTGCTTGGTCCCCCCTTAGGTTTTTCGATTTTTCGGGACCTATAACTCGGTCCAGAATTATTTCCTAAAGTAGGGAATGGTACCGTTCAACTCAGCTCGTCGAGACGAATCGAATGACATATGTCACGTCCCGAACTTTTACCACCGGTACACTACACTATATCCCAGACATTAATTTTTCCTGGATTCAGAGTCTAGATCAAGGCATTTTTCAGAGTTCCTTGATTTTCCTTGACTCAAGATCAAGAATATGGTCAGGGTACCCAACCGAAATCAAAGTCAAGGTTTTTTGAAAATCTCAACTCTGTAAAAATAATTTTCTATCATTATTTAGACTCTAATGTTCTTTTCGCTTCGAAAAAGTAAAAAGGAGAGAGAGTGTATGCATGACAGTTATAGAAAAAATAAAAATTAGAAGCAGTCCATTTTGTCGCAAGTGCTTTGTCGCTGATTTAGTACTCTTGAAAGAATATTAAATATTTCACATATTGAAGGTATTATTCGTTAACACACAAGCTGAATAAGTTTTTAATATCGACGGTTATCGATTTAATATCGAAAATCGTCAGGCTAGGTTCCGCGATAAAATATTTAGCGACAAAGTGGCGTAATTTAATTTAAATGACAGAGGAATAATTTTTTAATTTAACACACTACTTCTATTTTTTCTGTATTTTTTATTCTTAAATTGTGTTTTTCGTAAATTAGAGTACGCAAAAGATTTTATTCTTTTTATAAATGTTTAGCTGACATAAATCTTGGGACTCATTTTTCTTTCCAAAATTAATGATACCAGAATTTATAAGGGATAGAAAAATTTCCAGCAAGTTATGTCTTTGCGCTGTTATGGTCGCGCGTTGTTTTGTGCTGCACCATAAATTATTTATTTTTTAAATTTCCTTCGAACTCCCGAAAACAAATTTAAGGTTAACAAGACTTTCTTGATAGGTATATGTAGTTCCTTTTTGTCTTTCGATATTTTGAAGTCATTCATTGTTAGACACTTTTTGAATTTAAATAAACATTATGGCATAACGTTTATTTAAGAGAATAAAACAGAGAATTAGAGTTTTTCTTTGTGCTGCTCGTGCCCGCTTAACTCATCGAATCCTTAACTCATCGAATCGACCAAAAACGCTCAACTCATCGAATCGGCTAAAATTCCTTAACTCATCGAATCGGCCAAAAACACTCAACTCATCGAATCCTTAACTCATCGAATCCTCAACTCATCGAATCGGCCAAAAACGATCAACTCATCGAATTTTTCCAAAAGGGGACGTTTGAGTCCCCTGTTTTTATTTTTCTCCCGAAAGGGCCAACTGAATCTTCGTTGAAAAAATTTTTTGCTGCTATGGAGGCTAGGAAAAAGGGCTTTTGGGCATAATCGGGGTCTACTGGACTAATTTGGTCCGGTTTTACCCGGTAAAATCTCCATCATAATTTACCAGGAATGTGAGAAAACATTCTCATTATCTGATAATGTTTTCACTGGCCGCATAGACGTGGATGAGTGCCCGATCAACTAATTAACAAAATTAGTTGAAACCCCAAAAGAAAACAAAAAAAAATAAACAAAACAATAAAAAATCTAAAAAATAAACACGGGGACTCAAACGTCCCCTTTTGGAAAAATTCGATGAGTTGATCGTTTTTGGCCGATTCGATGAGTTGAGGATTCGATGAGTTAAGGATTCGATGAGTTGTAGGGTAGCCGTGCTGCTTCTTTTTTCAATTTCATAATTTCTTTCGTTCTCTGTTTTTGTAAACAACAAACTGCCCAACTTTCTGTTTTGTCATAGTTAGGATTGCAAATCAATAATCGTCGTCTTTGGTCCGGGCATCCTACAACCTTTCCCATAACAAATTTGATTAATCTTTTATTTTCCTTACATTTTTTAGAGTTCAAAATTTTTCAAAAATTTTCGAAAATTTATTCCTACTCCTCCCTTCAATTTGATATGAATGTATTTTGATGTGTCAGCATCAGATGTGTGACCTGCTTGATACGATGGATGAAATATGGATAAAACAATCTACAAGGTTTTCTTTTAATTCTTTTGATTTTGGGTATAAGTGAAGGATCGGTTTACAAGAAAAATGAGCAAAGTGTGCTCTTTCGGTGTTTTTGAGGTTTGCCTAGTCAGGTGTAATGAGTCACTTATGGGTTTAGAATAGGGTTGGTCCCCGACCCCGACTAACCCCGACCCCGACCCCGAACCCCGACATTTTTTGACCTAAAACCCCGACCCCGACCCCGACATTCCCAACCCCGAAAACCCCGACCCCCGAAAGTTCGACCCCGACGACCCCGAACCCCGAAAAATTTTTATGCCCCCGACTCAAACTGCATTAATTAACTAGAGATCGGAACGGGATCGGGACTTTGATGCTAAATATATGAAGGAAAAGGGAAAGGAATATTTATATTTTCTCCTGTTTCCTTTTGTTGGTCGATGGTTGAGTGGTTAGGTTAACTGACTTCAGCCATCTAGCTATTTTGATAGGAATGTTGTTCGAATCCAGGGATGGAAATAAGGCTGAGAAAATTTTTCTTTTCGAAAATAAATATTTTTAAACTATGATCTTGATTTTAAATTTGCAAATTTATTTTTTTAAATATTTTAAACTTGAAACAATATTAGAAATTTTAAACTAGTCATGAATTTTCTAAAATTTTCGCCTGCGGCGCAGAAAATTGAAGAAATCTGTCTCTTGGCCTTCCAAAATTCTAAAAATTTTTGCCTGCGGCGCCGAAAATGGAAGAAATCTGGCTCTTGACCTTCCAAAATTCTCAAAATTTTTGCCTGCGGCGCCGAAAATGGAAGAAATCTGGCTCTTGACCTTCCAAAATTCTCAAAATTTTTGCCTGCGGCGCTAGACTCAATGAAGGGATACAGAGGCTTTAGGAGAAATTGATGGATAGATGGATTTCTCCCGTTATCCTTGCAACTCCCCGATATCCCGTCAAATCCCTCTAAATCCCATTATATCCATTTAATCCTCTCCCCTCAATCCCTTTACATAAGAGGTGGAGTAAGAGTTTCCTTGTGGGTTTGGGGATTTTGGAGATTATGAAGGATAACTTGGATAAAGTACTTCTTGCGCCTTCAACTAATCACGAATTAGATACAGAAAGTGAAGATAATGAAGATTAAGTTGATTTTTTAATAAAAATGTTGATTTTGAACAGTAATTTTGGATAAAAATGCTGGATTTTGTAAATTTTCACTTCAACCCCGACCCCCGACCCCGACCCCGAACCCCGACATTATTTTCAGCCCCGACCCCGACCCCGAACAATTTGAGCAACCCCGACCCCGACCCCGACTTTGTCAACCCCGAAAACCCCGACCCCCGACTTTTCCAACCCCGAAGGCTCGGGGACCAACCCTAGTTTAGAATGATTCGGGATCCTTCGTTAGGATTAGGGTTGCTATTTTCGAGTCTGCCTCCGTTCGAGTCATCTTTTCAGACCTCATTTTTATCGAGTGAGTCTTTTTCGGGCCAATTATCTTAGGCCCGACTCGATTTTTCATTCCGAGTCGGTCCTTTATGGCAATCCTAGTTAGGACACTAGCTATTAATGACTCGTCTCATTTACTAGTTGAGTGGTATAATGTTAGTATAACGCAAGTTTACACTGGTTTCCTATTGGCAAACCTCAAAATATCAAAAAAGCACTTTTTGCTCATTTTTTCTGGGCAGGTTATCTATACTTTTACTGATTTCTGAAACATACGGGGGGCTGTTTTGTACTAGTACTGGGTTGGTATTATAATAACTGCAGATGCTTAACTTGGGTCTTATAGCTAGAATTGGAAAGATTGAGTTTGTAACCTTTTCACCGGTGAGGGTTCAAAAAAACTTCCCGCTGCTTTTTAATTCGAACAGTGTTTTCCCTCTCGTTTCATTTTTGGGGAAAGTAATGGGCTAAACTGCTGTCTCGTTTTAGAATACGATCCCTATGTTTGAGTCCCTCGTGGGTTCCAAGTTATCTAAGGCTTCCAGGGCATCTATTCATTTACTTGTTCATATCAATTCTGGCCTTTTATAAGTATTTATAAGTATCCATTTTTAATTTGTTTAATGCCAAAATTCTTGTTAGTCAGATGGACGTATTGTCAAGCATCCTGAAAATTTGCTTATAGGCCCTAGCTAGGAAAATTTACAGGGAATTTTTTTCTATTTTTTGCCCAATTTTGTATTCAAAAATGATTTTTTAGTACATTACTTTTTTTACATTTAGGTAATGTTGAGAACAACTTCAATTGCTCTTTACTGTAACTACGCAACATAAATTTCTTTCTCCGCGGGTGTTGTTGGTATTTTGCAAGTTTTATTTTATATTTTTTTGGGTTAATATTTAAGAATTTAGTAGGGGGTTCCTCAGTAATTTTGTGGCTAGAGTCGAAAGTCGAATTTAATTTCTTGTTAATTGAATTTGTTAGTAACTGTTCCAAATCTGGTATTAAGAGTTCCACGTAATAGTGAAGATTACTGGCCACTAGAGAAAATGAGTAACTGCTTTTTCGATATTTTTGAGGGTTTTCGGTGGGTGATTGAGTATACTGAGTCCGAATCTGAGCTCCCTGACCAGAATTCGATCAGGTCAAAAGCGGTTTTAAATTCGAAAATTAAAATTGTAGTGCTTTTTTGACACCTTTTAACCAAATTCTGATGATTGATTTGTATAAGGGAGTTTTCCATCTAATCTAACTTCACCGCTTATCTAACTTCACCGTGGTTAGTTTGACATTAGGTAATAAATTCCAAGCGTTGTATTTAATTGATCATACTTTCGTTTAATGTTGTCGTTACAGATCAGTAATTTTCACTATTACCGGTTTACGCCTAATTTTTTGGGCTTATCTAACTTCACCGTGGTTAGTTTGACATTAGGTAATAAATTGTGCTGAGTGTGAACATGAGTCGAGTGAGAAAAATCGAATTTTTTACTCCTAAATTGAGCTTACTTCCCCCTATGGTTCTTCGATTTTCACGGGACTATATCTCGGTCCTCAGGCATCTTCTGAAAACAAGAGTGGTAACGTTCGACTCGTCGATCGAATCGAATGGTATGGGTCTTGTGACATGTTGGATTGGGTTCCGTGACTTTTGCGCCGTGAACATTTGCGCCGCGACTTTTGCGCCGCGACTTTTGCGCCGAGCGACTTTTGCGCTGGGGGACTTTTGCGCCGCGACTTTTGCGCCGGGGGACTTTTGCGCCGCCACTATCATTACTAAATATGAGAAACTACAGCCGGGCCTCACTATAGAAGATGTAGGATGGTAGGAGATCTCCGGATATCAAGATCCGGATTCATATCCGACCTACAATTTTCGGCTATCCGGCCTTTTTCAGATCCAGATATCAGAACCCGACAACCCTACACAATAGTGCACCCTCTTTTGGCAGAAAATCATGCCTTAATAGGGGTAGTAGACCAAATATCCTGATCCGAAAAAGTCAAGTTCTTTGAAAATGACCCCTCTAGGGGGTTGGTTTATTTTTTAACCTTCCTCTAGAGGGTCGTTTTATTAGAAGGGGCTATTGTACTTCCCGAAATATTGCACTTCCTGAAATTCCTTCAGCTCCTGGATACCATTTTAAGGAGTACCCTATAATTATGTCCCTCTGTAGATATTATTTTTTTTAAATTATGGCGGCGCATAAGTCGCCCGGCGCAAAAGTCGCTCGGCGCATAAGTCGCGGCGCAAAAGTCCCCCGGCGCATAAGTCGCGGCGCAAATGTTCTCGGCGCAAAAGTCGTGATACCTTGGATTGCACTAATTCTTCCTTTCCTGCACTATACAAAAGATCAGTGTTTATTATAATGAAAAGAAAAAATGCACTATTTATTTTTTCCTTCTCTCTGCCTACTCCATATTTTCTTACGTTGGAGAGAAAAGAGTACATGAGTTGTGAAGTATTAAAAAAAGCAAAGAAAAAAAGAAGACACAAAAAACGAAGAGAAAATGGGCAGGTGGGTTTCTTGAGTATTCAAAAGTAGAGAAAAGTTTTTCAAGAAGAAAATTGAACGGAGTGAAAATTGGAAGGACTAAAGTACCGGGAATTCGCTGTTCGCGGGGATGGTTTAAAATTTATGAAAAAGAGAACAAATTTAATAATCATAAGAGAAAAACATAGGGTAAATTAGGAAAATACTTTAAAAAGCTGGAATTACCCGGGCTGTTCCACATTAGCAGAGCTGTAATCTTTGAATTTAAATTAGGGTAAATATTTGAATTTTTGAAACATTTTTTTTCTGAAATATTATCGGAAACATTTTATAGGTTTTAGTTTTTAAGGGAATCGGGGTTAACTTATCTTTACTTGGGCTAGAACAAATTTCTAGTTTTTTTTTTATCTGGGAGGATTTTCAATTTTGTTTAAATAAACATAGAGGTCTCCTTCCTTTTCCACTTATAAAGATTAAAAATGGAATAAGGAAAAAGACTAGGAGGTAACTTGGGTTGGCTGGGTGTGTTTCTTTTCATTGCAGAATGACTTAGGTTGAACAATAAGGAATATAACTAAATTTCGAACAACTAACTGAGGCAGTTCCTTTAGGTGACAGTTCTTTGCTCTAAACAATTACCCAGGCTGCCACTGGGTAATTATTGCCAAATATATAGGACTCAGTGGCCCCAGTGGTAGCCTGGATAATCATTTAGAGGATCTAGATTAAATATTTTTTTAGATTTTCGTCTTGTAAATTGTCGCCGTGCAATTAATTCATAATAACAAAATGACGACATCTTGAGGACCGACGTGCACGGGAAATATGTTGACAAAAGAGCTATATTTTTGGTAAAATTTAAAGTGGAGGTAACATTTTAAATCTATATTATAAATATTTTTTGTATTTTAGATGTTATTGCGTGATTATCTGGTCTTAGTAAGAATATCATAACGTTGGATTTATCAGAAAGGATCCATATAAAAGCAGTCAGAAAATTTCAATACATATAATCAATACATAAGTTTTATACATACAATCGATACATGAATTTTAATACATATATCAATACAAATAAAATACACATACAGAAATAAATATACAATCAATACAAATTTCAATACATACAATCAATACATGAATTTTAATACATAATTTTAATACATATATCAATACAAATAAAATACACATACAAAATATAAATATTTAAATGAAATAGTATAATAAATCGCTGTGGTTGTCAATGAGGAGTTATATCTTGAGCTTCATAATCCGTTTAGCAAATTCTGGTCTTAAAAATCACATTTAATGTTACTATGCGAAGGGGTTATGCCCAAATTTTTCAAAAATTGTTTCAATAATGCACTATTAAATAAATGCAAATACTATTTAAACAGCCACTTTTACTAATTCTACGGCCACTTTTTGTTTTCTTTCTTGCTTAATTCTCTTTCCATTTATTTTTCTCTTGATGGCGCATAGCTTGAGGTTGCATTTGGTCCATTTCTCTTTTCGCCTCGACTCATATTATATTAGAAAAGTGGTTGTCTGTTGAGTAAGATTATAAAAGTGGCTGTGTGCTGGCGGAAATGGAAAATAAAGTGGTTGTTGCTGAGGAAAATGGAAAGGAAAAATGTATAGGAAAATAAATAATTCTCGACTTAGCAGATCTAAAGTCCTTCCGGGCTTCTTGATGCTCTTTTATGTAAATTCTTTTCATCCAATCAACATGTTTATTGTACAATCTGAAGACTCAAATGTTCTACTTTGATTTTTAACTGTTTTAAATCGATTTGTAATGATTTCAAAAGGCTACGGATGATTTGAGGACACATTTATTAAAAAACGCAAATCTTAAAATCCCTTGCGGCGCGAAATCTTGAGAAATTTTCACACTTAAGCGCAAATCTTATTCCATAAGGGAAGATGTTGAATTTCCCGCTGAAAAATATTTAACGGTTGGATCTCGATGAAAGAGAAAAAATGAAACTAAATGTTGCCTTTTGGCAAAATTGGTGAAGTGAAAAGTTGATATTTTGTGTTGAGACGAAGCGTCCTCGACGAAGGATTTGAATTTTATGCCATTCCGTTGTGGAATTGGCAAGACGAGCAATCGTTCGGTTCGAAGCAAACTTTTGAGTGCTCGTAAAGCTAGCAAGTGACCCGAGATTGGTTGTGAGACCAAATCTGTCTCGCCTCGTGTGTCGTTCTGGCGCCGACGGTGCTCGAGTATTTTATTGTGCAGCTTGACGCTTTTTTTAGTAAGATTCATTAACTTCAAAGATCAAGTGAATCTTAACTAAATTCGAGATATCTGGTTGATCCTGCCTGAACTGATGTGTTCATTTCAAAGATTAAGCCATGCATGTATAAGTTTAATCGTTTTAACGAGAAACCGCGAACGGCTCATTACAATGGCCATGATTTACTTGATCTTGATATCTAAATGGATAACTGTGGAAAAGCTAGAGCTAATACATGCACCAAAGCTTTGTCCTCTCGGAAAAGCGCATTTATTAGAACAAAACCACGCGGCTTCGGCTGCTTCTTGTTGACTCAGAATAACTAAGCTGACCGCATGGCCTTGTGCCGGCGGCGTGTCTTTCAAGCGTCCACTTTATCAACTTGACGGGAGCATAATCGACTCCCGTGGTGGTGACGGATAACGGAGGATCAGGGTTCGACTCCGGAGAAGGGGCCTGAGAAATGGCCACTACGTCTAAGGATGGCAGCAGGCGCGCAAATTACCCACTCTCGGCTCGAGGAGGTAGTGACGAGAAATAACGAGATCGTTCTCTTTGAGGCCGGTCATCGGAATGGGTACAATTTAAACCCTTTAACGAGTATCAAGCAGAGGGCAAGTCTGGTGCCAGCAGCCGCGGTAATTCCAGCTCTGCTAATACATAGAATTATTGCTGCGGTTAAAAAGCTCGTAGTTGGATTCGTATCGGTACCCTGGAACCCTCCGGGTGTTTCTGGGTGTTATCGATTTATCGTAATGTTCGGTTTTGAGTCCTTAACAGGATTCTTAACAGGCATTGCAAGTTTACTTTGAACAAATCAGAGTGCTTCAAACAGGCGTTTTCGCTTGAATGATCGTGCATGGAATAATAGAAAACGATTTCGGTTCAGTTTTATTGGTTTTACGGACTGAGATAATGGTTAACAGAGACAAACGGGGGCATTTGTATGGCCCCGTGAGAGGTGAAATTCTTGGACCGTGGCCAGACAAACTACAGCGAAAGCATTTGCCAAGAATGTCTTCATTAATCAAGAACGAAAGTCAGAGGTTCGAAGGCGATCAGATACCGCCCTAGTTCTGACCGTAAACGATGCCAACTAGCGATCCGCCGATGGAAATTATATTGCCTTGGTGGGGAGCTTCCCGGAAACGAAAGTCTTCCGGTTCCGGGGGAAGTATGGTTGCAAAGCTGAAACTTAAAGGAATTGACGGAAGGGCACCACCAGGAGTGGAGCCTGCGGCTTAATTTGACTCAACACGGGGAAACTCACCCGGCCCGGACACTGTGAGGATTGACAGATTGATAGCTTTTTCATGATTCAGTGGATGGTGGTGCATGGCCGTTCTTAGTTCGTGGAGTGATTTGTCTGGTTTATTCCGATAACGAGCGAGACTCTAACCTACTAAATAGCTGGTACATACTCTTAGTGTATACAGCTTCTTAGAGGGATTTGCGGTGTTCAGCCGAAAGAAATTGAGCAATAACAGGTCTGTGATGCCCTTAGATGTCCGGGGCTGCACGCGCGCTACACTGGCAAAATCAACGTGCTTGTCCTACCCCGAAAGGGGCGGGTAAACCATTGAAAATTTGCCGTGATTGGGATCGGAAATTGCAATTATTTTCCGTGAACGAGGAATTCCAAGTAAGTGCGAGTCATCAGCTCGCGTTGATTACGTCCCTGCCCTTTGTACACACCGCCCGTCGCTGCCCGGGACTGAGCCATTTCGAGAAATTTGGGGACCGTTGATTTAATTTTTCTAAATTACTTTGATGGAAACCAGTTTAATCGCAGTGGCTTGAACCGGGCAAAAGTCGTAACAAGGTAGCTGTAGGTGAACCTGCTGCTGGATCATTACCTTATGTGATGTTCAAATTTGAATTCGCAACATTGTTGTGAAACGGCTGTCGCTGGTGTCTAGGTGTTGCTGATACAGTTGTGAACGTCCGTGGCTGTATATGTGGTTACATGTTAGGACTCTTTGATGAGTTTAAGACTTAATGAGCCTCTTAAGTGAGGACGCCAGCACTCTTTTTTTCTCTATATTTTTAAAAAAAACAAATTTTCTAGCCTTATCGGTGGATCACTCGGCTCGTGGATCGATGAAGAACGCAGCAAACTGCGATAATTTGTGCGAACTGCAGAAACCTTGAGCACAAAAGTTTTGAACGCATATTGCCGCATTGGGGTCAAACCCTTTGCTACGTCTGGTTCAGGGTCATTTTCTTTTAAAGCGAAAGCTTTAATCTATATTTTGCTATTGATGCTTTATATTTTAAACTGATTGTTGAAGATATTTTATTGATTATCGTATCAGAAACAATAAAACATTTTTGACCTGAACTCAGTCGAGAGCACCCGCTGAACTTAAGCATATCAGTAAGCGGAGGAAAAGAAACTAAACAGGATTCCCCCAGTAACGGCGAGTGAACAGGGAAATGTCCATCGCTAAATCATTTTGCCTCAGGCATTATGAGGTGTAGCGTATAAGCCGTAATCTTTGATCTTTTATCTCAAACAAGTCCCCTTGACAGGGGTTCCACAGAAGGTGCAAGTCCTGTACATTGAGATAATTGGTCGATGTTTGCGTGCTTTAGAGTCGGGTTGTTTGGGATCGCAGCCCAAAGTCGGTGGTAAACTTCATCTAAGACTCAATATTGCCACGAGACCGATAGCAAACAAGTACTGTGAAGGAAAGTTGCAAAGCACTTTGAAGAGAGAGTTAAAGAGGACGTGAAACAGGTGAGGTGGAAACGGATAGAGTCGGCGTATCTTTCAAGTATTCATTTACATTATCTTTGTGTTGTGATCTCTGAGCTCCAGATTGGGACAGAAAGAAGCAGCATAATTTTCTGTGATGCATTTACTTGTTTGGTGCTTGGGGATGTTTGAGGCAGATTTGTAACCGCCGTTTTGAGGCCAGCTTGCTGGTACCCAAACGGTGTCAGCATTTTTTGTCTTGTACATTTGAGTATGGCTTACGGGCATTTATTGGTTCGATCTGAGTGTAAGTTACGGTCGCATGCGACACGTGCTTTTCAATTAGTTCGGTCCAGTTAATGCTCTCGTACTCCTTCCCCATGTAAAAGCCGGTCATCTATCCGACCCGTCTTGAAACACGGACCAAGGAGTTTATCGTGTGCGCAAGTTTTTGGGTGTTAAAAACCTAAAAGCGAAATGAAAGTAAATGGCTCTTAGAGTCTGATGTGCGATCTTGTAAAAAAGTGCAGTATGGCCCCATTCTAACTGTTTACAGTAG